AAGAGTGAGAGAAAGTGAGAAAGCAAGCCCCTCAGTCCAGAACTCAAACCACAGTCAGCCATTTGGGAGTCTGACTAGTAACTACCATGCCACCTGCCAGCCCCATGCTGAAGAACTCTTACTATGTAACTCCAAGGCATGGGAGGGATGGATGGATTTCACCGACCTGCCCTTCTTCCCAGTCTTACTGCTACTGGAAGAATCTCTCAGAGAGCAACACCACTTGACAGACAACTCACTAATCCTCGATACCACTGGAGTTAACTAGGTGGCAAGTGCCAGCTCTAGTTTGTAGATAGAAAACAGAGGTGCAGAGAGACCAAGGGGTAATAATATAAGACAGCTACATAAATGGCAGAAATAGAAAATCTTGACCCCTTGGTGTCCATGTCTAGGTTTTCTAAAATAGACTTCCTCTTTTGTTTGGAAGTCCAAGAGGGAAAACAACAATGTCTATTGGGGCAGAGGGTTGGACCATTGAAGCAGGATGCTGCTTCATCTGAGGAAATACACTCATGCAGACACTCATGTCCCAACTGAGATAAGGAGATCGGCAGCCTCACCCACAGCTATATAACTGGTGCCAAATGGAACCATAGTTTCATTTAGAATATACTTATTTTCCCCTCTTCTTTATATTAGTTCCTAATTGAGATAGACACTTCTGATAATGACCAAACCATTTTTTTTATGAAGAGAAAATTGTCATATAAAGTAGATAGGTGACCTCTTGGCATCATCAGAGTCGGTATGGGAAGGCCGACACTCTTGCCTTGAATGTCAGTGTCCTTTGTGGGTCTCTAAGCTACTCTGACCTTCAGGAATATTTGCCCAGTGCTGTGTTGGATGCTTTGACTGTGTGCCATGGGGCAACTTCGTGAAAAGCAGATAGGCTTTTTTACAGTACCCAAGATGGGAGGCCAAGAATTACACAGCCAGGCTCAAAACTTTCTAATTGAACTGAGTTGTTCTATTCCTCCCAGTCACATATCTCCTTTGTTGGAGGTGTTTTAACTGCTATGAAGTGATTAGCTCTTTTCCTCTGAAGGGAACTGTGCTTCTGACTTCCTGCTGTCTAATGTGTCTTTTTATTGGTAGGTCCATATGCTCTAGGGGTTTATCTAACAAGGGACCGATGAGGAGTAGGAAGTAAACCTGGATGGAAAGGAGCCCTGAGGATTATAATCCTGAGTCAGTCGTAATTATTCACCTCAAAAGTTGCACAGATGTAGAGCCACCATGAGTACACAGCTGCCTCTGGATGGAACCTGGCAGCACTTGTGGGGCAACTTAAGATGGTGCAATTCCAAAGATGAAAGTAATTGCCAACTGTCCCCAGCATTTCTTAAGGTCAGAGGCCTTTAGCTTCCTACTAAACATATGAAGTCAAGACTCTGTCTTGAGACCTCTGAGAAAACTCATCTCCAGAGTGTCTATTTCTACATTGAAGAACTTTTTAAAAAAATATTTTATTTTATTTTATTCATCATTATTATTGTTTTTAATTTGACCAGAGAGCAAGAGTGAGAGAAAGTGAGAAAGCAAGCCCCTCAGTCCAGAACTCAAACCACAGTCAGCCATTTGGGAGTCTGACTAGTAACTACCATGCCACCTGCCAGCCCCATGCTGAAGAACTCTTACTATGTAACTCCAAGGCATGGGAGGGATGGATGGATTTCACCGACCTGCCCTTCTTCCCAGTCTTACTGCTACTGGAAGAATCTCTCAGAGAGCAACACCACTTGACAGACAACTCACTAATCCTCGATACCACTGGAGTTAACTAGGTGGCAAGTGCCAGCTCTAGTTTGTAGATAGAAAACAGAGGTGCAGAGAGACCAAGGGGTAATAATATAAGACAGCTACATAAATGGCAGAAATAGAAAATCTTGACCCCTTGGTGTCCATGTCTAGTTTTTCTAAAATAGACTTCCTCTTTTGTTTGGAAGTCCAAGAGGGAAAACAACAATGTCTATTGGGGCAGAGGGTTGGACCATTGAAGCAGGATGCTGCTTCATCTGAGGAAATACACTCATGCAGACACTCATGTCCCAGCTGAGATAAGGAGATCGGCAGCCTCACCCACAGCTATATAACTGGTGCCAAATGGAACCATAGTTTCATTTAGAATATACTTATTTTCCCCTCTTCTTTATATTAGTTCCTAATTGAGATAGACACTTCTGATAATGACCAAACCATTTTTTTTTCAAGTTTATTTATTTATTTGAAGAGAGAGAGACAGAGACAGGGTCTCACTACACCACGATCCTACCCCCAACCTCCCAGCCAGCAAGGTTCATAGGTGTGTGGGTGCACCTGGTATGTTCAGGTCAACTTGGGATCTAAACCTGGGCCTTCCATGTGGCTCCATCATTGCATGGTGGTGCCCTACCAACTATGCTACTGTGGTTGGCCTCCAAACTATTCTTAAGGCTCTAAGTTTATGTGTTCCTAAAAATGAGTCTTTAGGAGCAAAACTGTAAGGGTGATAGTGCAGCCATTGGGGTCAATGATGCTTCACTGGTTCTCAGGCCTGGGATTTTGTTACTTTTCCCAGTCTACAAAACGTTCATGTAAAATAATGTTGCTTGCAAGGGCTAGGATTCTAGCAATATTCAGAAATCACATGTCTACAAGATAAATGTACCTTTTCTGTTTAACTCTCCATTGTCTGATATATTCCTTCACTGAAGTTTGTCACTTTGGGTTACTTAGGATAAAACATTTTAGGTTTCCCTTTTTAATGTAAATTTTTCTAGGAGTAATTATCTTAGGATTAATCTAGTTTTTAGATCACATTGCCTTAGGAAGGGTTATCAGAGAATGGGAATGTTTCATGTGGGGGAAGTTTTGAACAGGTATACTTACTTAGAATGAGTATCTTAAGAGGAAGGTGGTAACCAGAGGACAGCAAAAGGGACTTGTATTCTTTGGGATGGTGCTGGTGAAGGAGAAGATAGAAAGAAGGTAGTTTTTCTGGGTCTCTTTTGGGTCACCTGGTGGTTTCCTGTTCAGGTCCCTGCCATGTCAACATGGCTTCTATATCTTCTACTGTGTCCTTGACATTGCAGCCCATGAAGCCTAGCTTTGGTTTAGATGAAACATCTTGGTTATCAGTCTCTCTCTGCTCTGAAAATTGATCAGTTCCGGGTAAAATTGTTCCCAGTGTGAAATAGGAGGGGTCTTCAAAAAGGTAGTGAAAAATGCCTATTATGAAAAAAACTATGCATGAACTTAATTTATTTTTGTATTAAAATAAACTCATACTGGGCCAGTCAGGTGGTGTAGTGGTTGAGACAACTGAATGGATGATTTTGCAGTTTGAGTTCTAGACCCTGCAGCTTGAAAACACACCAGACACATGTGTGTATATACCCAAAATCTTGAGAGGAGAATAAAAGAGAAAGGATTGTGTTGTGACCATCCTCCCTGGGGTGTGATTTCTCACTTTCCCTCTCTCTCTATCTCTGTCTGTCTGTCTCCAATGAGTACACATGTTCTCTAGTTCTACCCCTCCACCCCCGCCCCCCAAAAAAGTACTTAATTCAATTTTTCTACAAACTTTTGAAACTTCTCTCACAGGTACTTGTGCTTGAGGACTTCTCTTGACTAGATTCTGTGTTTGAGGTGGGTTGATTGTAGAATATAAGAGAAGGAGACCTTCAAGATTCCTCTTATTCCCTTTAGCTTTTAATCCCCTTCTAGGGATGAAGTATGGCCTGGGACTAGACTTTGGGAGCCTAGCTGTTTGAGCACCCACTTTGTAAAAGGCACCTCTTAGTGCCACTCCCATGGTCCTTCTGGGACATATCTTGTGTCTGGGCAAGGCTCTCAGTTGACTCTTGGCAGGACAGGCCTGTGAACATGTGTTCTCCACCTGGAACTGGGCTTGCTCTGAGCCTCCCTCGAAAGGAGGTATAGATTTTATGCTCAACATTGGTATTAGGAGAGTAAAGAAACTAACAACAAACACCATTTTTTGCTTCAGAGAAGAAAACTGCCACCAGGCCTAAACGCTTTTTCATTTTACAGGGAAAGGTTTTGATGTCTTGTTCTCTTTGTCTGATGGTGCCCAGAGCAAAATTTCTACCAATACAAAGGATATCATTGCTTCAGAATCCAGAAGCTATAGTGACCCAACAGAGCGGTCAAAGAGCATGCTGGGTAGCTTGTGAACTGATAATTTAAACCAAACACTCCGAAGTAAAAAAATGAGGTTTGGAAGCTCTAGGAAAAAGTTGAGACCATGAATAATAAGACCAATTCCATAGGAAAGTTGGGTTCATTGTTTATGTAGAGATTGTAAATGGGCATCCCACAGACTAAATTGAGCTTTAAGCATGTATATTGTATTCAAAATTTTGTTGCCAACATTACAGTTTTTGGAAATCGCAATTAAGTTAGGTTTCTGGCTTTTCTTGAAAATCAAATGGCCAGATAACTCTGTGTGGTAATCCTGGTCTGGAACTGAGCACAGCTGCCTTCTGTGCTACAACTGTCAAAGCCCTACCCTTCTCCATTGCATTAGAACAGGCCTACGTTACCAATTTCAACCACTTGCCTGGATCCTGTAGGCATCTGAGTTTGAGATTCCCATATATGGTGACATGGTATCTGCTAGGGAAGTGCTCAGGTGATAGTATCTGGCTGAGTTAGTGGGCTTGAGATAATACTGGTAAGAGGCTGAGGCTACCACATTCTGATTGGAAAGGTTTCTATAGAGAGAGATGGGGAGAAAAGTAGGGTGCCCTGCAGCTACCGGACAGAAGAACCGGGCAGTCATATGAGATTGGGAGCTTTGAGAGAACAAATGAGTTGGTCTTGGTAGCCCTCATACATGGGAAAGCCAGTTTCCTAATTGTATAGCATGTACCGTTCCACTGCAGCATCCGTCCAACCAGGGATGAGGGGAGGGGAGGGGGCAGAAGACTCAAATCATGCTGGCACCTCGTTGCCTCATCTTGCCTGTATCAGCTCGGCGTTTTCTTTCTTTGGCTTCATATAGTTAGATCGTCTGACCTGGCCCGGCTGCTGGCTTTGCTCAGCCTGCTCAGGGGTCTGGCATCATCTGCCGTCAGCTCTGGACAGAGTGAAGGCGCCTTCTCGGCCGGCAGCCCTTGCTTTGACGCCTTCTCCGCCAGCAGCTCGTCTTTCTCACTCTCTTGCCCCACTCCGGCGGTCTCTACCTTCTCTCCCTCTGCCACCGGTACCACCTCCTGCCCCTCGGTGGCCAGCCTTTCCGCTTCCAGCCTCTTCTCTCCGACTTCCGGTTCCGCTGCCTCCTCCACGGGCGGCCCCTCGGCCTCCACTTCCTGTGCCCCCACCTGCGCGTAGGAAGGCAGCGTCTCCTGGTAGCCCCGGGACAGGTCTGCCAGCGGGCCGGTGCTCATCTTCTCCGCGAACTGACTGAAGGGCTTGGCAGAAAGGGGGCTGGTCTCCACCATCCCCACCTCGGTCAGAGGGAAATAGTGGGACACGATTTTCTCCTCTTCCAGCAGCTGGTAGTCCTTTTTGGCTTTCTGGATGGAGGAGACCGCAATGGAGTGGAGGGATTTCTTGGGAATCTCGCCCAGGGGCTGCTCCACAGGCCGCTTGAAGGCGGACCGGATCTCCTTCAGGCCTAGGTGGCTCATCTCCATGATATTGAGGAAGAGGGACACAAAGGCCACAGACAACATGAACAGAATGAAGATGGTTTTCTCGGTGGGCCGTGACACGAAGCAGTCCACTACATTGGGGCAGGGCCACCGGCTGCAGCGATAGAGGGGCAGGATACGGAACCCATACAGGAAGTAGTGGCCCACTATGAAGCCCACTTCAAAGAGGGTCTTGAAGATGATGTGGCAGATGTAGGTCCTCAGCAGGGTCCCCTCCAACCGGAACTTCTTGGTGCCTTTGCTGCTGCTGCTGCTCTTCCGGATGCTGCCCTGGTCTGGGGTGAGCGGGGCCCTGTCCCCTCCGTTGGCCGCAGACTGCTGACACAGCTCCTCAGCCTCACGGTCCTTCCGCTTCTCCTCCATGCGCACGTGGTGCACTGCGTGTCCCACGTACATCAGTGACGGAGTGGAGACGAAGATGATCTGTAGGACCCACAGGCGGATGTGAGAGATAGGAAAGGCCTCGTCGTAGCAGACATTCTCGCAACCTGGCTGCTGGGTGTTGCACACGAAGTCAGACTGTTCATCCCCCCACACAAACTCTGCGGCAGTGCCAAGGATGAGGATTCGAAAGATGAAAAGCACGGTGAGCCAGACTCTGCCAATGACTGTGGAGCGCTCATTCACCTCTTCTAAGATGTTCCCTAGGAAACTCCAGTCACCCATTTTGTCACCTAGAGGAGGGAGAAGGCAAAAGCTAAGTGGCCACAGTGCAATCGTGAGTCAACCTCGTTTTGCTAACTCTTAGGGTACTCTCCTTTCTGACCTGCTGCAGTAGTCAACATGTAAACAGCATCTATTGAGTGCTTCCTCTGTGCAGACTAGGACTAGAAGACAAAAAGCTGCATAAAAGAGTCTGCTTCCATTAGCTTCCTCATTTGTAAACTGGGTTGCACATAATACCTGGTCTCATTGATTTTGCAAACTGTCTGAAAGGACCAATGAGGCAATATCTGCATATATACTTCCTTGAACTCCACCAAAAAAATAAGGATTCATTATTGACCAGAATTAGAAGCCAATGGCTACACGAATTTAAATCAAGATCACAAACTGATCTAAGGTTCACAAGATGCTGAAAAACACAACCACCACCACCACCTTATACTACAGGATATCTGAACCCTCGACAAAATTCTTGACGTGTGTGGTTTAGTCTGTAGCCAGCTTACTTTTGACTGTGTCAAAATATGTCATGATTGTATGTTGGAAAGGAATTAACATTTATTGAATACCTACTTCGGGAGAGACCTTTGGACTTACATTATTTCAGTTAATTTGATCCTGCTAGATTAAAATTTCCACAGGGGTACTTCTATATACTTAGTGCCCAACATGCAGTCCAACACGCAGTGAGAGCTCAATAAATGTTTGTTAACAAACTTGATCCCAACACACAAGAAAACTGAGGCTCAGAAAGGCCAAACAGATTGTCTAAGATTAGACAGGTAAAAAGCAGTTCTTTCTGCCTGATCCTAAAGGCTTGCTTCTTTCCACTACACCTCTGAGATAAACTACCCGCAGTCAGAGCTACACAATTCTCTGACTTCTGTACTCTTAATTTATGTATCCTCTTCTCTAGGTTGAAACCTGAAAACCTTTCTTAATAGCTGTACAAATTGAGGGTAGTATATTTTTATTATTACTCTTAAATCCAAAGAGAGTGCTGTGGGAAGGAATTAAGTTACAGAACGAGGAAGGCCCACTAGGATGCTTTTAGTGTCTCACAGAATGAAAAGGTTTCAGGGGCTGTAACATGTGGCATTTTTTTGGGCGAGGGGGAAGAGGTTTTTGCTATAGGGCAGGTGCGCTTGCCAGAAAGACAGAGACAGACAGAGAGACAGAAAGAGAGAAATCACCCCCCTAGGGGGATGACCATGCGGCAATCCCTTCTTCAATCTTCTCTCAGGATCTTGGGCACGCACACATATGTGCCCAGTGTGAGTTTAAGCCACCAGTCTGGGACTCGAACTGTGGTCGACTATATGGGAGTCCAGCGACATAGCCATTACACCCAACTGCTTGTCCCAGATGTGGCTATTTTAATAGACATAAAAATTTAGCCTGTAGAAAAAAAAATGCCACTAAACATGATAGTATATAATGTCCCTAGCACAACAATGTTTAATGAAAATAGGATTGAACTGATGCAGACAAAGCAGGTCATTCATTCAATGCAAACCTGTAACTTATGGAGGATTATGATCAAAACTCCCACCTCAGTCAAGGACAGTTGTTCCTCCTGCTTGAACATCTGTAGAGTTGTTTACTCATAACTGCCCTTAGGCCAGAGCAAGAGCCTGTATTAGAGGGTCCTGCTGTGGGCTTCTTTTGGCCACACCCTACCCTATAGGAGCAGCAACTCTGAAGGCAAAGGGATATCCTACTAATTTTAATACAGCAACATTTGTTAAACACTTGAAAGAGTGATGAAAAAAATGGTATTTTTTTCTTTTTAAGTTTTTGGCCATAAGGCAAGTGCACTTGCCAGAGAGAGACAGAGAGGGACAGTGAGAGAGAAAGTGAGAAATCAGCCCCCAAGTGTGATGGCCACACTGCAATCCACCATACTCCACTCTCCTCCCAAGACTTTGGCCACGCATGCATGCATGACTAGTGTGAATCTCAGGTAGCCAGGTCTAGAACTTGATTGTGGTCAGCTATGCAGGAGTCCAGTGCCTTAACCACCATACCACCTACTGGTCCCCCAAAACGATATCTTAAATTAGGTATGGAAGCAGCTTCGTGGCCTGATGATTAAGGGAGCTGGATCCCACATGGTTGACCACAGCTTGAATCCCAGCCTCAGTGGCTTGAAAAATGTGCTAGGCACTGGTGTGTGGATGCCCCAAGTTCTGACAGGATGGAGAAATGGAAGGGAAGGATTGCATCACGACCATGCCTTATTGTGTGCTTTCTCCTTTTCTCTCTCTTTTGAGAGATGTTTGCTATAGGGTGTGTGTGCTCCCCAGAGAGACAGAGACAGAAAGTGAGAAATCACCCCTCTCCATTCTCCTCTCAGAATTTTGGGCACTCATACACACACCTGGCCTAAATTTCAGGCCACTAGATTCAGGACTCAAACTGCAGTCAACCACTTGGGAGTCCAGTGCCTCAATGACTGTGCCACCTGCTGGCCCCTCTCCCTCTCTCTCTTTGTCTTTCTGTCTTCCTCTGGCAATTATGTGCCCTCTGGCAAATAAAAAAAAATTAGGGGTGATTTTAATCTTTAGGGGAAGGTAAACATAATGGAACTTAAAAATATTTATCAATTTTATTTATTATTATTACTATTTAATTTGCTATAGGGAGAAAGAGAGAGAGAGAGAGAAAAGTGAAAGTGAGAAAGCAAGCCATCAGGTCCGAGACTTGAACAATGGTCGGCCATGTGGGAGTCCAGCGCCTTAACCACCACACCACCTGCTGGCCCCCATAATGGAATTTTAAAGCCTCTTTTCAACTATGATTTGTAACCTAACCGAACAGTACCTGGGGCATGAAAAGTATACTCTCAGGGTATGTAGGACAGCTGTGCACTAGGTGTTTCTCCTCTTAGAGTCTTGGAAATCCCCAGTTAGGTTAGGGTAGCCTACAGTGACTTCTCTTCCTTGGAAGAATGAAAGTAGTTGTGACATACTAGTCATGAACCTGGCGCTGGGAAGAGTTCCTTGTAGGAAGGAGGAACTGAGAGTGAGAGAGAACCCTCTGTTCAGAACCCACTGTTCAAAATCCCAGCTGCACATGTCTTTTTTTTTTTTGCACATAATAATTGTATATTTTTGTGGATACGGTGTAAATTTTCAGTACAAGAATACAATTCATAATGATGAAATAAGGGTAATTAGTATATCTATCATATCTAGCATCTATCATCTTTGTGTTGTGTTCAAAATTCTCTCTTTTAGCTAATTTAAATGTATAATAAATTGTCAACTATAGTCATCCTACTGTACTATTTGACACTAGAACTTGTTCCTCTTATCTTTCTGTAATTTTGTTAATCAACATCTCTCTATCCCCTCTAGTATTCACTATTCTAGTCTCCATTTCCATGAGGTCCTCCTATTTAGTTTCCACATGTGAGTGAGAGCATGCAGCATGTCTCTTTCTGTGCCTGGGTTATTTCACTTAACATAAAATCTTTCAGGGTTGTCCATGTTGCCCCAAATGACAGGATTTCATTCTTTTAAATGACTGAATAGTATTCCACTGTGTGTGTGTGTGTGTGTGTGTGTGTGTGTGTGTGTGTATCAACATGTATCTACTTTTGATACTCTTCAACCTACAGTTAAATCTATGCTTACTCTGTAATGAGCAGCAGCCATTTCCATCATCTTCTGGAAAATAGATGGGGAACATCACAATCAGGTAAGAGCCCAAGCATAAAGCCTGGTGGTGGCAGGGCAGAGCCAGAAAAAAAAATCTATTTATCAAGCAAGTCAATGTAAAATTTATGCTACAGCAAATGATTTGTATTCTTTATTCTTATAAGATAAAATCTAACTTTAATTTACTTCTATTTATTTATTTTAAAAATTTGCTATAGATGCATGTGCTCACCAGAAAGAGACAGAGAGACAGAGAACGAGAAAGAGAGAATGTGCGAAAGTACTCCCCGGGGGAACTGGCTATCCCCTCTCCTTTCTCCTCTTAGATTTTGGGCATAAGTGCACATGTGCACAGTGTATTATTCTGGGACTAGAACCCAGGGTAAACAGTGTGGGATCCAGCCATCTTAACCACTGCAACCAGCTGGCCAGGCTTTAATGTACTTTAAATGTAATGTCTTACTTAGTAATACTTCCCTAATCTTACATCTTGCTATACTATCTTATCTTCACTGATATATCATTTCAGTTTTGGCAGCCGTATTTATATCTGTACATATTAATCCTTTTGTGTTTCTATGTGTATTTTACTTGTGCAGCAAGCACACTCTCTCAGAACTATATGTTAACCAGTCTCGTTTCCCCCCTTTAGGATCAAAAAAAACCCTCTGTGCTTAGAGGGCAGCAGCCATTTTGGCTTCAGCCTCTGTGAACCATCACAGCACAGAATAAAGCCTTTTACAGAGTGGGAGCTCTATAGACAGCAGTGGGGGGACCAGTAGTAGTCATTTTGAAATCTCAAAGCCTCAGTTCCTGAGTGCGTATAGTTCAATAGTCCCCCCCTTATACCTGGGGGATATGTTCTAAGACCCCAGTACCTGCCTGAACTGTGGATAGTATTGAACCCTGTTTATGAGGGGGCTTCAGAAAGTTCATGGCAAATGTGTATTATGAAGAACTAAACATTAATTTTAAAAATATTTTGCACCAAAATAAACTCTTATTTTAATTTCACTTTTCTACAAACTTTGAAGACTCCTCATATACTATGAGTTTTCCTGTACATACATACCTATCATAAAGTGTAAATTTATAAATTAGGTGCAGTAAGAGAATAACAACGATAATAAAACAGAACAATTATAAAAATATAAAGTAATAAAATTTCTGTGAATGTGATCTTGCTCTTTCTTAGAATATTATATTATACTTAGCTATTTTCAGGTCATAGGTAACCATGGAGAACTGAAACTGTGGAGAGTGAAAGCGCAGATAAAGGGGACTTCCATGCTAGTTTTAGAGTCCAGGGAACTCCAGTCCTTTTTTTGCAAGAGAAAT